TTTCAAAATGATATTCAACAATTGCATGTTAGATATACAAAATTTGATGATGTTATTATAATTTTTAAAAGTTTAATACTTTTTGATATATGGAAAACACGCGCAAAAGCGAACGCAAAAACTAGTATAAAATAAACGAGCCAAATCATATTACTACTCTTTATTACACTCAAGAAAAGGATTTTGCTCATTAAAGTGTAACAATTACCGATAGACCGCAAACGTAAAATTCCGTTGGTTTAGGGCAGATTAGCAAGCGCAGCATCGTTTCGACCACTTGTCTGAAACTATGGCGACACCGTCAAACTCTAGATCGGAAATGGAGTCGGCTTCGTCACCGGAGAAGAAATTTAAGGTTAACAATGACTTTAATGATGAGATGCGAGAAAAACAGCAGATTAAGTTTTATGGGATTGATGACTATGATTCCGATGATTGGGAAAATCGACCCGATAAGCATGTCTTCGAAAAATACTTTCAACAACTCCACGACAGCGATGTATATATGCTTTCGTTTTGTTACTACTCTTTGTACTGTTGTTTTTATTCTTGCAATTCTTAGGATGATTATTACAGTAATATATCAATGACTATTATTTTGATTTCATATTCCCCCTAAGCTTTTCCTTTCAAATTCCTGTTCAAAATTATAAGATTAGCACCACCACACATAAATTTGGGTTCAATCATGTTATCTACCAAACTATCCAAAATATCTGATATTTCAATACTCAATTATCTAATAATCTAGATAATCTTTTATTTTCTCACTCTTAAAGTTGCATGTGTTATTCTTGTATTTTCTAGTCTTTTCTCTATTATTATCCGTTGTATTGTTTGCTTCGATTGATTCTACTATTTTTCTGGCTGATGTTACTGAGTGTCAATACTATATTGTGATTATGCTTTTCTTGAACCGAGAGTTTACCGAAAATAACCTCTTTACTAGGTAGGGTAAGATCTGTATATATACGATGTAAGAATAAGTTGTGCATGTTGTTTTAGAAGTTGTGCATGTGATATATCATACGCATAGGGGAAGTGCACATTATCCTTTTTCCTATATTCAAAGAACTACTCACATTTCCATCTCTAAAGGCCAAGGCCATCAAATTTAATAGGAAGTATTTTTCTAACCTAGCTTCCTAATATTTTGTATAAGGTCCCAGGGCAAAGCTCCTCCTTTTCTTCCCCTACAATCCCTTGTAACTTTTGAGGTAAGGTTATATGTCCCCCTCGTTGTAATTTTCTCTTTCAAATAATTTACAAGATAGGGGTCCAAGTCAAACTCTCACCACCATAGAAGGTGAAAGCTTGGGTGGATAGATTATATTTTAAAAACAAAATTGTGCAATGTGATAGAATCATGTAAATTCATCCTATTGTAATACAATTTTTCAACTATATAAATTTGTGATTAAATTTTACTTACTTTGGTCAAATCGGCTGGATTTCAAATGCTGAATATGTGTAGAAATCTCATATGTGTACTCTTGTCTATCTTAATAGGGTTTTGATTTTGATCAACACCCTGGGTCATGCATGGAGGCTCCCATATGCTCCATTTCCACTCACAGACTCGATCGTGATCCTGATCTCGTGGATGAACTCAAGGGTTATGCTTCAATGGCAATCAATGAGTACTTTACTGACGATGTAATATCTATATATACCATGCATTTTACCCATTGCCTGCTGAACTCAGAAGCAGATCCATGATTTAAATTCTATAGGCTTCAATGAGCCCAGCACCACAATGTTGGATCCGCCCCTGGCTGGATTGCCCTTCCTCTATATTGAATTGCATATTTTATTGATTGCAGGGGAAAGAACACAAGGTTTTAGAGATTGTGAAGGTGAATGCAGGTGGATGTCGTGACTGGAACTACTACATTACCTTTAAAGTTAACAACGATGGGAATGAAGAAACTTTTCAAGCTCAGGTTGTAATTTCACTTGAGGGCACAATCGAGATTCCAGTTTGCAGGCCCAAGGCCTAAATTCTTTCTAAATTATCTGCAAAATAGTTGCTTTTTATGCCTTTGGTTTGTAATAACTAATAAATGGGCTAAATCTAAATTCACTCCACAGGACTATATCTGCTACAAACACCCTACAATCTTGTTTTTCTTGGAGGTTTAGCTTAAGATGCATTCCTAATGTTTTGCACATCTCTATTTTGCTAGTAGTTTTAAATGATGCTTACTTGTTGAATTGTCGGTGCCACACTATTACATCAATCTTGATAAAGTGTTATATGAAAATGACTGTAATCTTATTATATGATTAATCGGTCAGAATTCTTCTTTGGATCTTTCCTTATTGCTTCCTCTGAGACGAGCAATTAGAGTCCCTATCCCGTATAAAGGATGGATGTGTTTTAAGAGTCCATAATTTATCTATATAACGCATGGGCTCAATCAGTCTAGTATCGACAGATAAATTGAAGATGATTTCTAGCACTTATTTGTACAATAATGACTGAGGGATATGTTTATAATTTATTTTCCATTGCTCTATGTATGATTTACAATAAATTTTACTCCAAGTTATAAGATATTATAAGTGTATTCTTTTAAGAAAATGAGAAAATTGAGAAAGAGGGTTTAGTATGTCAAACTTATAGGTGATCGTGATTTCTAGTAAACAAGAAATAAAATGTAAAATAGGAAGAAATAAAAACCAATTCTTGAGAACTTTTTTGTGTTAATGGTGTCACACTAAAAAAATATACTTCCTTATTAATTTAACACTGAAATATCTTCTTTTCTATTGGAAATGTTTTGCAAAGGGGAGTAAAACTCTTCTAAAAAGGGAGTTTTATTCTCTCTTTTTTTCTTGTTATCTTTTCTTTTTCCGACAAAAGTAATTAATCTATTGAAAGTCATTGAAGATTAGGTTTTACGTACCCCTCCGTAGGAGTCTAAGCCAAACACCATCACCTCAAGATGGTTTTTATAAATAATAATTTAAAAAGCTACCTTTTACAACAAATTTAAATTAAATACCAAGTCCACACGAGAACATTGGTGTAGGAACAACGGCAGGTAACCACTCTAAAGGGCTGTCATTTAAGAATTAGTGAACACATAAATTTCAGTTTTTCAGTTTAATTTTTTCGGACAAAATAAATATTGATTAATCTTTAAATAGCATCTGAGAATGACTATCGGTGCACTTGTACCACAATTGGTCGATGAAATAAATTTGATTGCTTCAATATTAAAAGCTATAGCTAGGTAAGAATTTGACCAAAAGTAAATTGCCTCGCCTGCATGTTTCTTCATAGTTTACGCTCTTTGCATGAAACAAAGAATTATTACCTTTTGAACAATTCTAGAAATACGGTTTCCATTAATTAATAATAATAATATTAGTATTACATGTAATTACTTATTTATCCCTTTATTCAGAGTATTTATTACTAAACCCAATATGATACTTTGAAAGTCAATTAAAAATGTTTAATTTCACGTTCGAAGTCGTTGGGATTTTGAATTTGTCTAACTCACCTTTTTTAAAAAAAAATCAAAATGGGGGAAAAAATACCAAGGAGTACTTCTTGTAAGCCTTTTGGACGTTACTACATACGTTTGACCTCACAAATACACTAATGGAAGAAACATTTAGACATGTCGAAGCAAAAAACATTTTCTAACTAAAAGGTTGTATTTTGCATATATATATTTCGCTTAAATATCAAAAGTTTAATTTAAATTTTTGGTGTTTTGTGTCCATACAAACACATTCATATAAAATGAGATGGATAAAGCTAATTTCTTATTCCTTGCTCATCTTTATATATTTCCAACCGCAAATTCACGATTTTACTCCATAAAAAGTTTAAAATAAAAAGGAAAGAAAAAGAGACTACTGTTTTTAATGGAGGCTAACCTTAATCTGAATGACGTACAACTGTGATTTAATGAGTTTTTGTTGTAATTAATATGCCCAGTTGCCCACCTCTCATTTTCTTTTTTCTTTTTTTCTTTCTCTCTGTTGACTTGACTTGAAAAATCTTAGGCCACAAAAGAATAGTATTTGAGGATTAAGTACAAGTTTTAAATCAGAGTAAAAAAAAGCGTTAATATTTTGACCCACAAGTAAGAGATTTGACATGGAATACGTATTAAAACTAAGATAGCCCCATTTTTGAACACTTTTGAAATAAGATTGTGGCATAGAAAATTCCAAAAAAATAAAAAATTGTTTGCCCCTAACAACATTAGTATAGTACACATCATGTGGCTAATGTTGTTTGTTTAGTCACGTCACTAATGTGAAGATTGAGTCAGTTCTTAGACTTAACGGTCAAAACCGTCGCCTCATATATTTGAATTTCATTNTATATATATATATAGAATGAATAGATAACACCTCAAGATTTATGAAAATAAAGTCAAACTAATAGATTTTCCTGAAGTACGTTTGAGTGGGTGACTTAAACCTTTTTTAAAAGAGAAAAAAGAAGGGTAGTTGATTTTTTCTTGAAATTAAACCATCAATAAAAATGCAACATCAACCATTTGTGGAAGGAAAATAACCATTTGTTTTGTTTTACTATGTTGTTTTATTATGAATTGCGGTAGTCTCTTTTCAAGTGTAATATCTAGTTAAGTGAACTTAAACTTAATTTAATTGCAATGTGCACTTTTGATCTTTATTACTTGTGAATCTTCATAACTTTAACTAATTATTCTATACTTGAGGGTTATATAATTTTTTCATATGTAAAGGAATAAAAACTCACATTTTCAAATTTAAATACATTTAATAAAGTATTACAATGACCAATGTCAAGATTGACCAATAACTGAAAAATCAAAAGTGCAATTATCTTGAGCAAACCACCTAAATATTAGCAGGTGCACCTACAAAGAGCATTGTTATTACTTGGTCATTTCTAGATTATATAACAGTACTCTTTAATATATTTATGACATCTATATTAAAGAGTATTGTTATATATAATTTTGAAATGACCAAATAATAGCAACGGAATTGCTATGTAGTTGACGTGATTTTTCACCTCAATTGTAGAAGGCAAAAAATTTACCAAGTGAGCTAGTCTTCAATTCGATTACAATATGAATACACATTACATCGAGGTAATTAAACTACCAAAAAAATAGTACAATCATATGATTGTAATTTTCACAACATTAATTGGTGAATATTTTGACTCTAAAGTAAATGATTGAATGACAAAATTCTGAAAACTAGTCAATAATTCGAGGCGCCGCCAGTCAGAATTTTGTGGGCCCTACCAACAGGTGACAAGACAAGTTCCTCTATGCCAAGTCATCAACAACCCTTTTCACTCCTTCCTGGAAACTAGATTCGTCCCATTCACTACCCTGGACCAAATCACAACAAAACAAGAGAAATTTGGTTAACAAAGTTGGCAGGAAAAGTTGAAAAAAAAAGGATGGTAAGAAAACCAAATCCAAACAAGAGTTTTAACATATAAGAGCAAAGCCGGAGTCAAGATGTGAAATTTATGATTTTAGAATTTGTTATGGAATTTATAGCTCGTTTTAATTATATTAGTTGCATGTCTAGCTAATATAAAAAAGATTGTGTTATTTGTGCAACAACAATATCAATAACATATTTAGTATAATCTCACAAGGTCTATAAAGGATAATGTGCATGCAAATCTTACTCCTACTTTAAGAAGATAAAGTGACTGTTTTCAATAGACTCTCAGCTCAAACAGGGGCAGACTTACGTTCATGCAAGCGGTGTCATTCGACACCGCTTCGCTGGAAATTTTTACGAAATTATAGTATGTAAATAATGGTTTAAAACAATACGAATAAAAGTATATGAGGTTGCAACCGTTGATGGACAAGCGTGTCCTGGCCTAGTGGTCAATTTTGCTCCTTGGCCTTCAATTGGTCCCCGGTTTGATTCTCAGGGCATCAATTTTTTCATTTTTAAATCTTCAAAATGAAATTAACCCCATAGTCCAACTATTCAGCAAAGTTTGTTTAGTGAAATTCTATTAAAAATATGTAGAAAAAAACACATACAAACATGGCTCAGTAAAGAGCTTTCAAGAAAAAGTTCTTACTAATAATACCCAAATTATTCGCTTATTTTTTTAAAAAATAAATATATTAATGTTTTGAATGTACTTTGTTAATATGATATATGTTTATAGATTCACTTCTTAAAAATATCGACACCACTTACCTAATATTCTATGTATGCCCCTTAGCTCAAGGACGGACTTTGTCGCGAAAAGAGAATTCCGAAAGAGAACTAAAAAAGTTGGAAAAAGTTATTCCTATATTGAAAGTGATATTTCCCAACTATAATTTCTATTTTGGAGGGCGGAAAAGACCAACAGTTCATAGAAGCCGGAAAGAAGAAGTACCATCTTAGTATTTGATAAGTAATAGATATCCACTAATTATAAGCTCACTAAAAGTATGATGCTTGTATATTTTTAGTATAACACTCATTAATAATTTTTAGTTAGTAGAATGAAACGGTAAAAATTTACCATTTTACTGATAAAGACAAGAAATATCTTATTCTCTATAATTACAAAACGTCTAGCATTCCCTCGCGTTAATTTGGCATCAAACTGCTTCCAATTTTCAAAAAGAAAATTCCAACTGTATAGAACTTTCCAATTTTGGAATTTACATAAACAAAATGCTAGGAATACTTTATATGGTGTCTAAATAAATTATATGATTCCTAAATAAAAAGTAAACCGAAAATTATCGAAAATCTGTTCACATTTATATTTATACTTTACAATCCCTCGAAAGGCTGAGTAATTCATGCAAAAAGATATAATCATCCATTATATATGACGGTTATTAATTTCGGAACTTCAAAATAATTCCATATACATTATTAACTTGTTAAGGGAAAACAAAGTATTATAATCTTGTGATATTCCTATATTTTGAACCAAATAAACCTTGGTGTGTATATGATATAAATGTAATTAGTTAAAGTTAAGGCCGCTAGTTTCTGAAAATAAAATGCATACGTACCTCAATTCTAACTCTCAAGATTATATGAGTTACAGGTTCTGATTGAACCACTGATCTGGTGTTTGCTGCTACTGACTCTAAGTTTACATTGTTGTCTCTTTTCAAGAATTCCAGCAAACGAGTAACCAAATCCAAGATGCTGCATTCTCTCGTTACTGAAATTTGCAAGTCCACTGTTCTTGATTCTGATGTTGACTCACCTACATTTGTTATTTCAACAGCTATCCTTTCATTTCCACCAGCGGAGGAGCTAATAATTGCCTGTTCAAAGGAGGATTTGTTTTGAGGTTGAAGTAATTGTGCTTCCAACATTTCATTCTTTTTACTCAGTTCTTCCACTTGACCTTTTAATGAACTTAAATATTCTGTTGTACTGGCAAGTACTGATGCTTTGTCCTTCTGCACAAGAAACCGAACAAGATTTTAATCATTTCATTATGACATGATATCATTTTGAGATGCATTAAGACTTCACCAACGTTGAATATGGAGTACATAATAAAATGAAGTACAACAACAGCAATAAAAAAAAACCGTGTAATCCTACAAATAGGGGTGTAGAGAAGGTAGTATGTAGGCAGTCTTACCCTAGCTCGTGCAAGTAGCTAGAGAGGCTGTTTCTGGTTGACTCTCAACTCCAAGCAAGCATTCAAATCGCAACACTATAGAGAAGAAATACAATACGTAGTAATTATAAGTGTGTAGTAGTACTCTCAGATTGAAGGAGAATCTTGGCGTAACTGGTAAAATTGTTGTCATGCGACGAAGAGCACGAGTTCAAGCCGAAGAAACAACCTCTTGCAAAAATGCAAGGTAAGACTGCGACAATAGGCCCTTATGGTCCGGCCAGGGGCGTACGCAGGAATTTTTGTAAGTGGTGTCGAAATTTATAAAAAAAAACTGAAATATAACTTTGATTGTCATACTTTTAGACAAGAAATAGTCTTAATCTATTGATTTTGTTGAGTCTTAAGCAAATATTTACAAAAGAAAAATGTCTTAATTGAGGTTAGAACCTTTAACCTCTTATAGAAAAATCAAACACATTACCAACACACCAACATACAATTTATGTCAAGTGGTGTCATTTTTTTTTACTTAATAGTTTCCTTACAATATTAATACATATATTTAATAAAAAAATTTGACGAAGCGGTGTCGCGTGACACTACTTCGATAAGCGTAAATCCGCCCCTGGGTCCGGCCCTTCCCCGGATCCCATGCATAGCGGAAACTTAGTGCACCGGGCTGTTTTTTTTTTTTTTTGGTAGTACTCTCATACAATTTAAACATTTAGATGAGATAATCACATTTTAACATGGTATCAGAGCAATCATAAATGGGCATAGAAAAACTAATTTAAAAAATGTACTCTATTAATAACTTAAATTTTTAGACGTGACGGTGACACAGTTTACTTCATAATTAAAACCATACCTTAGTACCAGGTGGGAGTAAAGATCTAAGTAGTTGAAAGCTATCGTTAAGCTTTTCGCGTCTTCGTCTCTCTGAAATCATGTGATGAACCTGAGTACTTGTAGGGGCACGCGGGTTAGGCTGCATTTGTTCTTGCCTTGATCTCATCATATTTAAATTTCTGAAGAAATTGATAGATCTTCTAAACATGTTTTGTCGGCGAGTTGTGGCTGTTGCTATTGGCAAATTGGGACCTAAACCTGACCTAAACCTTGTAAATGCAGTGGCTTTTTGTGTTGCTATTTGTGTGGGTAAGTTTTCTCTGGATTGGCGAGAGGAGGAAGAAGAAGAGGGCGATGTCATGACAGCGAGATACGCTCTTGTTAATGCAACGTCTTCGGTTTCTAGTGTCGGTAATTGTATGCCTTGTATTTGATTTAATGTCTGAATGGCTTGTTGATATGGCGTGGCGGTAGCAGATACCGGTGGAATTGGTCTAATTGTCTGATCGGAAAAGGTATCCGTTCGCGGCTGTTCTGGTACATATGGCGACTTGCTTGCTACATTGAAGAGAAGGGATGAGTATTCGCCTGGGCTATCGATTGAGAATGATGAAGATGATGATGGCCGATTTTGATCAATTGGCAGTAACTGCTTAGGAATTCCTCTTGTTGCTACTGCTGCTGCGGGTGCTACTGCTTGTCTTGAGAAATAGTCGGCAAACAAGTTTTTCAGTCCCATTTCCAAGTTTACCTTTATATACAAAGTAACTAGTATTAAAACCCGAGAATTAATAGAAGTTAGAGCCTTAGATTTTTGAAATCACGAACAAAAGTGGGGTCATAGAAATTTTATAAAGAAATGGTCTTACTTGAGGGCTAGAAGTCATTCCAACCTCAATTTCTCCAATGCTACACCCCATACAGATAACTGTCTGAAGTTAAAAACAAAATCAGAAGATAAAATTAAGTTTCAATATCAACCACATTATTTGTGTACTTTTACCATATTGGATCACGTGATAATGAAATAAACAAACACAAACCTTGATTCCAGCTTCCTGCAACAATCATATTTAAAAGGTTACCTTGGATATTTAAATAAATTACTAAGAATAGTAATATATAATTTAATTTGTTATCAAAAGTACCTGGTAGAATTGAAGTTGAACTGGATTGGATGCATGTGATTGAAAATCTGCAAACTGCAGCTCCATATAAGGAACATTGTTCTTGAAAGCCAGTCCTGGAATGCGGCTGAAGGTGAACAAATACACTTAATTTAGAAAGTTCTCATTAATTCTTGCTTCTTTTCCCTCCATATCATAAATCTTTTAGAAGAATTAACCTAAATATCTGTCACCCAATCGCTTAAATTAAAGATAGTCAAAGGATGTATATAATATATATGTATAGTACGTGTATAATCGTGTATAGTCAATGTGTAATCTATAAGCGCAAAGATTGCCTACCCATTGTCCATGATAAGCCATGAATGCCTATACTCTTGGAATAGCCTCTGGGCAACATCACTGTCTCCATTGTAGATTCCACCCAAGGACATAAAACAGCTACAAAGTGATGAAAATGTGGCAGGTTAGAAGAATGTTCTTGGGCATGCATATATCTTTTTTGTAGTACTAGAAGTAGCTAGCTAGACTAATGAGAGGGATGAAGAAGTAGTAGTAATCTTACTTAGAAGGTTGGTAATATTGCCAAAGGCATATGTAATTGCAACCTAAGGACTCCATTATCTTTAAGAGAAAGACGGCGCGGTCTCCTTCTTCAAGGAAGAAGATGGAGTCCATGCAGCTAGCTCCAAGAAAAAGAATTTCTTTGTATGTTTACTACATGAGAGTTTGTTGCAGCATTGTCCCTAATACAGTATGGTGGTCATAGTTGTCAAGATGCTTTGAATGGAAAACTTGGAACATATTTATGTGCTTTAAGAAGGAGGGAAAAGTTAAAGAAAAATGGTGTATGAATCATAGAGTTCAAGAGCTAAAAAAAAGTTTCATTTGAATCTTGAAAGGTAACACTTTTTGGCTAGCTACAATTCATGTTAGGTGATAGTTTGAAAAGTATATTGGGAGAAATATCCTATAAAAAGAAAATGAAAAGGACCCCACCATACAAAAAAGTTAGTAAATGGGGCAACTTATACAAGTCTCTGAGAAGGTTAAAGGGGATATTGAAGAAAACTAGAAAAAGGTATATATTTAAGAACCTGAAATTTTCAAGGGAAGAGAAAAATAGGATTTTGGAAAAGTAGAGGAGAGAAAAGAAGTAGCCAGCCAAGAGAGGGTTGAAAAGTAATGGTCAAAGTCTTACTTAGGCAAAGATTTGAATTGAGTCAAGGGAGGATGGCAGTGTGTCCCTTCCTATAGTTTTCATTGTCATGTTTTTTGGATACTAGTACAAAACTACCCCCTAATCTCCGTAATCACAAAATCTCTCTTTAATTCTTTAAAATTTTGGAAAGACATAACTTTTGTTTTTGTTTAATCGACAAGTATTTGGAAATCACTAACTTAACTAAACTTAGAGATCTCGTCCTTCCTACCATATCGTCAAATATTGGAACATATCGCCGTCAAGTTAGCTATTATTTGTCCTAGTAATAGAAATGAGTGTTGCAGCTCCTTATCAATTAACCATCCATAATTTTAACAGATTTTTTCCTCTTTTACCTGTGCGGTCCGGTTCTTTCTCGAACCCCGCACATAATAAAAGCTTAGTGCACCGAGCTGCTTTTTTTTTTTATATCCCTTAAATTCATTTTGCTTAATTATCGCCACCAAGCATTTAATAATATCACTAAGAATTTCAATAAAACTAACATGATATGGTAATACAAATACTTATTCTTTCCTTCTAAATAAAGTTATGGTGTGTGGCAAAAATATAGCTTAAAGCGACAAATAGAACTTTTTTATAAGATATAGTCTTAGATAAAATTGTCAAATGAAAAAAAAATAAAAAATTGGGCTTTTGGGGCATGAGATTGGTGGCTGGACTTTCATTTCAAAAGGCGCTTTAACCATTTTTCTTTCACTTAAAACACTTGCTTAATCATTTTTAAAAAGGAAGAAATACAAATAGAAAAAACTAAATATTTGTGATGACCCGATAAGTCATCTTTAATTTTAATATTCATTTTTGTGTTTCGAGACCTCTAATAGCTCCATTCAGCCTTTCTCGATTTGCATGCACAGTCCGTATCTTTATATGAAAACTAAAGAAAATGTGAAATTTTTCCTTTAAAACGCATGAGTTAACTTCGCTCAATATTTTATGTAAACGGATCTGAATCAGTATTTTGACAGTCCCGATGGTCCCTATCGTGATTTGGGACTTGAGTGTATGCTCGGAATCGAATTCGAAAACCCCTAGCTTGAATTATAATAAATTGTCGGAAACTAAAATTTTAAAGGTTTAAAGATTTCAAAGTTTGACCGGGAGTTGACTTTATTGATATCGGGGTCGAAATCCGATTCTGAAAATTTGATTAGACCTGTAATGTCATTTATGACTTGTGTGCAGAAGTTGAAGTCAATTGGACTTGATTTGATAGGTTTCAGCATCGATTGTAGAAGTTGAAATTCATTAGTTTTTATTAGTCTTGAATTTGGGGTGCGATTCGTGTTTTTTATGTTGCTTGACGTGATTTGAGGCCTAGACTAAGTTCACATAATATTTTAGGACTTTTTGGTATATTTGGTTGAAGTCCTCGGGGCCTCGGATGAATTTCGGATAGTTAACGGAGTGACACAGGACTTTGAAGAGTGCTGAAGCCTGCTGGTATTGTGTGTTCTGGTTTCCTTCTATGCGATCGCGTGGATGGGTCTGCGATCGCGTAGGCTTATAGAGTATATGAGGTATGTTGTACTTATACTATACTCTGCACTTCTTGTGCAGATATCAGAGTTGATCTCAATGGCGCACCGTAGACTTGCTCGAATTCAGCTACCCAGAGGAGACTTGAGGTATAGCTGAACAGCGTCCACGACTCTGAAGTCCACTTCTACTTTATCTTAGTTGTGTATCATCTTTCAGACAACTTTACTTTCATTCAGACCTTTATCCATATTGTTCAAGTAACCCGTGCATTTGTGACACCAGATTCAGGGATGTATTTAGATATTTCAGTTGTTATGGTTTTTCACACTTTATTTTAGTTTCATCACAGTTATTTCAGTAATTGACATCAGTTTAATTTAATTTGTATAAAATGGCTTAAGACTATTCTAACGTTGACTTGTCTAGCAAGTGAACTGTTAGATGTCATCACGATCCCGAGGGTGGAAATTCCGGGTCATGACAATATTGTTGAAAGATCGGCGGTCCTTTTTAAGTAAATAATTCCAAATAAATTTTTAGTATAATTCTTATTAAAAATACCTAGGCACTTTATTCGCTAGAACAAATTAATACCACAAACTGAAAATTTAGGAGACTTATTTCTATTTACAAAACAAATAGAGGTATATATAACTGTATTAGTAAAACGTTAAGGAAGATTGTGCAACGCACTTACTTTAATTGCTGATTTGTGTTGAGGTGGTCATGTAGTTTCTAGTTTCTTCAGTTAAATACTTTTATTACTTTATTTTAAAAAAATCCAAGTGGTTAAACTCGAGTAGAATATATAAGTGAAGTGTGAACCAATGGATTCTAATATAACTAATTCCCAGAAGTTTCTCTAGCTTTCTACTTGTCAATGATAAAGACAAAGTTTTAGTTCATATATTATAAGTTATTGCATGAGGAAAAAGAGTATCTAACTTAAGTTGGTCTTCAAAATGTTAATTCATACATAAAGAATTTTATTACTACTAGATGCTGTACTCTGTGTTGTGTACGGGAGGAATTGTTTCTCTCTTTAATTCTCTTTTATTTTGTTTGTTTTAAAAATAAGAAAAAAATCAGAAAAACCACTTGGAGATATAATGTAGAGTACTGTTTATTTATTTATTTTTTAAAATCATGTTTATTTTAATTTTTCGGAGATCTCGTTATTGTTTAGTCAATTTTTAAGTGTATACGGTTAAAATGGGCTCACGGTGCACCCCGGTCTCCGATAGGATAAATCGAGCTCAAAACACTTTTACGAAGGACCGAAATCGAAGCAAGGATCTCATCGAGTTAGAGTTCGAGGGCATGGCGCCCACCCTCGAGAATATCAGGATCATGATCAGGAGTCGGTCCTTATCCTGAAAGACTTCGGGGAACGTTGTCGGGCAATCAAACACGATCAACAGAAGGCCGTGATATCCACGACCGGTCGGATATCACGACGTGGATCTCGACACGTATCGATAAAGAACTGGCGATCAGTTAAACAGAAGAATTTTTACCATTTATGTAATTGTACCTAGAGTAGGATTCCTCTACTATATATGGGGGGGGGGTCTGATAATTCATGAGACACATTGTAACACACATTCAAAAGTAATACATCACTATTTTACTGTTATCAAAGCTTTTTTCTTTGTTCATCAATACTGGTCACTGTGAGCCCGGATCGAGGGTAAATGTTATACTAAGGCTGGAATCATCCTCCGCGCGTGGTTTGAATTTACTGTACCTTTACTCGTTCATTCTAATTCAATTTATAGTTTTGTATCAAATTAATCCGTGTATCTTTAAAATCACATATAAATTTAATTGTTATCCGAGTTTGAGGGTAAACAGTTTGGCGCATACCGTGGGGCTAAGGATAATAGTGGCAATTTGATACAAATTTTCATAACACACCCTACTTTACACTTGTTCTTCTTTAATTTCAGATCAAAGTTAGAAATGTCGAACCCCCAGTCTGCCCCTCTAAACGTGGATGCTGAGTCTGGTCACCATGCGAAAACAACAATATAGCACCCGGTAGTGAGGTGCCCCCTATCGATCTCAACGGAGTTCCAGCCGCAGAACCGATCGACGCCAGCTCTCATGTGGCCATCAATGCGAATTTGCCTACCGATCCTAAGAACTACGTCCGCAAGAAAGTCCGATCGATTGCTCAAAATACGCACGACAGTGCGAATGATGGGATCAACTTGCGGGTGATCTTCAAAATTCAATAGGCTCAAAAGGCGGTGATAGCCCAGTTGTAGAACCAAAGCCGCGCCCCAAGCAGAATTGAGCCCGAACTATCCGGGGAAGTCACCCGCAGAAATGAACCGGTCAAGGAGAGGCTGAATGAAGCTGAACTGGGGACTAACCCCAAGATCATAAAGATGCTGGAGGAGTTGACAAAATGGGTAGAATCAGGAGAAAAGAAAATCGAAGCCAATTACAAAAAGGTAGAAACCTACAATTCCAGGGTTGACCAAATCCCATGAGCACCACCGATATTAAAGGGCATGGATTCCATGAAGTTTGTCCACAAACCTTTTCCTACAAGCGCAACTCCGAAGCCAATCCCTAAGATGTTCCGCATGGCCGAGATTCCTAAGTACAACGGAACAACTGACCCAAATAAGCATGTAACCTCCTACATGTGCGCCATCAAAGGGAACGACATGGAAGATGATGAGATCGAGTCCGTCCTGCTGAAAAAGTTTGGGGAGACTCTGTCAAAGAGAGCTATGATATGGTATTGATAACCAGGGATTATGATGCATTTTACACTCCTTCTTACTTGAGTTTTGATTAGAAATATGTACAAAATAGTCCCAAAGGCTTACATGTTGTACTTGATTGCAGGGTTTGGTCAACAAGGTGACACTTCGTCAAAACCAGCTCAAAAAGGAGTAAAACATGCGCAAGTACCAAGAACAAGTCCAAGCACAGTGTAACAGAACTAATGCGGCCGCATTCCATTCTGTGCGGTCCGCAAAGAGGAGGTTCAGAGAGGTGCTCAATTCAGACATTCAAGCAATGCGGCCACAAAGCATTTCATGCGGACCGCATTGGCTTCATTGCGGCCGCACTCGATTTTGTGCGGTCCGCAAAGCTGGAGTTCAGAGAGCTACTAATTTAGGGAATTGCCAATGCGGTCCGCGGTCCTTTTTGTGTGGACCACAATAGAAGCCACCGCAACCGCGGTGTA